GGAAGCCATTTTATAGTCCGGTCATGAGCCCTTTTCTATCGATCATCCGTAGCATTTGTTCCATATTATATTGAGCACGATGAATCATATTGGTTTGACGATTTTCAATGGCGGTGATAATTGTATCCACTGTGGGTAGTTTCGTAAATTTTTCCACGTTGTTCAATATTTTTGTTTTCTCATCGATCGCCTTTTGATGGTAATTTTGAGCGATTTGTTCAGCTATCCAAATTGTTCGCATTGTTAACTCGTTAATAAATGTGCGAATCGATTTCATTTCATTCATTCATAATCAATTTCTCTTATCTATGTTTAAGAAAGCTTTCTAAGAAAGAAACTTTGCATTCATCTTCTTCTCTATTCCAGATAGAAACTTGCCGATGAAAACTACAATTTGAAAAACATACGACATACTAGCAAAAGTTGAAAGCCTCCCAATCACACTATGGATTGTGATAATATTGATTTAAATCGAACAGAACAGACTACGTCTTTATTAAATAACGATGAACAACAAGGATATCAACCAAGAACATTACCAAATAATAATAATGGACGATATGCTTATTTGCCGATATTTCCAACTAAATTCATCGAAATAATTGTACTTATTCATCATCATGAGTGCATCTGAAATGTAGGCTCCATGTTGACGTCGAGCAATTTCATGAGGTGCAAGACGAGTAACTAGAAAATAATAGCAACAAAAGAAATAAAAAGATTGGTGACGGACACATGTCGAAGTACGAACCTGGCACATTAGCCAAGAGTAGGCACTCATCGAGACCAACGAATTTTGTTTGTCTGAATCAGATGCTGAAGAATTGTCTGTACGATTACAAGTAGACAAATCAATCATTACTTTCAATGCTATTCGACTTCGTGGAATCTGTTGTTATGTTCTTGCATTACATGAATCATTTCGACGACATGTTCTATTTAAGAAAGATGTTGCCTTAAAAGAACCAACACTCAATTCCAAACAAATGGCTATGGTATTAGAATTCTATCTACAAATAGATGGTCAGTCTTTCTACAGATATATCATTTCATAGTTTTCTACATTTTAATATGTTTTTTTTTTCTTCTAGTGGATCTATTCTACATGAAAACTTGTTCGTTTCGAGGAGCTGAACCTCGATCAAACATTGAAGGTCTCTTCTGTGGAAAAGATGTACCTCAAGCAAGATATTCCGTATTTCCATGTAGCAATCTATTTTGTCTATGTTGTCATCCATTACATAGTCACAAGAAAAGTCAATCATGGTCAGTCGTTGAATTTGTCTCAAGTTCCATGCATCAATTTGTCAATGGTTATACTACTTATCTCAATTGTCCAGCAGTAGATTATTATGGAACATTTCATTTTCATCGATGAACTCTTTTCTTTTTTTTTCAATTTAGACATGTACTACATCGAATGTAGTCTATGCCATGACATGTCCATGTGGTCAATATGATTATGTCGATTCAGCAGCAGACACATTGACAGATGCTATGGCTTGTAAGTATGAATTCCATTTGGGAATGACTATTTATAAGTCTTCATTTTTCTTCTTATGATACAGATCATCGAGCACATGGCAATCGAATTATACATGAAAAATTGACTGGTAGTCCTGTATATCGAGGATCATTATTCGATCCAATGGAGAAAGAGTAATAGAAGACATTTATGTTCTTTTTGCTTTCTTTTTTCAATATTGTAGGAAAGAAATTGCTAATGAGATGCGTCTCTATCAACATTCAGCTCGATGTTCAATAGCACTTCGTTCATTTCTGGATTGCAATCCAATTTATTGGTGTTTTATTCCTCTCCTTTGGGAGGAAGCACTAGCAGAAAATGCTGTTTACTACCAAGGAACTATTGTACCACTACCACCAGCTGCCTATGGCTTTTCATATGGACAATTACAAAAACAGCGTTTATTTTTCGAACATTTTGTCGGTTCTTCCATTCACCAACTGCCGTATGTTGCATTGGATTTGTATAAAATGGCGATCATTGCTGTTCGTAAGTAAATTTATCTTGATCAACGATCATTGTATTTTCTTCTTCTTTTTTTTTTGTTTCCTACTGATCTAGTACCAGAGGATCGTTCCATTATATTACGATACATCATCGAAACATTATTCATTATTCATGGTGAAACAAAATTAAATATGATTTGTCCAATTGGTGGTGATGCTGAAAAGCGCTATGGTCGTCCGTATGATCTTATTTAGTGTGCTAATTTCAATCGTTCATCGACGTCAAACACGACATCGACTCAGTGACTTTTGAAAGTGAAATGATCACTATTATAAATGCGTATTAATTCAATATAAGTCACATGAACCATCGAATAGATAATAGTTATTCTCCAGTGTTTGTGTTGATCTATTTGTAGTTCATTCACCACATCCACAATCTACTTTTTTTTGTGTTGAATTTTCATTTCTTATTGCTGTCATTGATTTTAGTCTGTCGTAAATTTAAGCTTATTGTGAGGAATTATTTCTATTCAATTTCATCAATATTATTCAATAATTTCAGATATAAAGGCATCCAAAAAGAAAAAATATTTCAAATGCTTCTCAATTCCTTCTTCCATATATGTCTCATTTTATCAGGCATATTTGAGTTATCCAATGGATTACCTCTTCATGATCATGATACATATGAAATGATGACTTCAAATGTATCTGATCATGAAATCAATCACTTTCAAAGTCAAATGAATTTACAAGAAATACACAAATTATTCAAACAATATCCATATACAATCATTGCAAAAGAGAATAATACTCAACGAATACAATCTCATATCAATGCATTTAAGATTGATTTACATGTATTACGAACAATCATTAATGATTACCATACCAACTTGTTAATATTCGATCAATTTTTAAATGATCATGACGAATATC